AAACCCTAAACCCTAAACCCTGAACCCTAAACCCTAAACCCCACACTCAGTTCTCAACCCTTCCTGCTTCCGAGGCCCCTCTGACACCGCCCTCGCCCAAGGTGTCCTCACGGAGCTCTTCAAAGGCCCACGGGTTTAGGGTTTCTGGCTTTCAGGTTTAGGGAACTCGGGGTCAGAAAGAGCCGAGGAACCCCATTCCGAGCTCGCGAATATCTCCGTACCCTAAACCCTAAACCCTAAGTCCTAAGCCCTAAGCACTAAACCCTAAACCCTAAGCCCTGACCCCTAAGCGTCCCTGTGGAAACAAAACCTTCAGTATGTAGTTCAACCCGACATGCCCAGGTCTCCGTGACGAAAGGAAGGCCTTAACACATTAGGGTTTAGGGTTTAGGGTTTAGGGTTTAGGGTCAGCGTGTGTCAGAGTTCCATCCACACGTTGAATGCACCGGCACCTTTGCGCTGACATCGCTGGCCCCACCGGCCAAGAGTACGCCCTGATTATCCTGTCCTCTCGGGGATCCCATGGGTCATTGAGCTAAACCCTAGACCCTAAACCCTAAACCCTGAACCCTAAACCCTAAACCCTAAACCCTAAACCCTAAACCCTAAACCCATTCAACGGGGTGCCTGGGTTGATAATGTTTCGGGTTTCACCTGCAGTCGGCCTCGAGGAGAGCTCCCCATCGAACGCACGCGCAGAGCTGGCCACCACAGCCGAGAGCGATCTGCGAGGACACAAAAAGTGGGCAACCATCCTTGCGACCCCCTAAGCCCTATAAACCCTAAGCCTCAAACCCTAAACCTCAAGCCCTAAACCCTAAACCCTAAACCCTAAACCCTAAACCCTAAACCCTAAACCCTAAACCCTAAACCCTAAACCCTAAACCCTAAACCCTAAACCCTAAACCCCCATTGAGGGTTTGGGGTTTGTGGTGAAGGGCTTGGGGCTTGACGTTGAATCAGCACGCTCGGCCAGAGGAAACTAACAAATTAAACGATAAAATGCTACACTCAGGGTTTAGGGTTTAGGGTTTAGGGTTTTGGGCATCCGACATGCAGGCACTGCCGTTTGTATGCAGGTTTCCCGCAAGGCCTGCGCATCCTCTTAATGGGCAGCGGCTGGCTACCAAAGTGCAACCAACCTTTCAGACTTCCAGCCGACCAATGCGAGATTAGCAGGCCGTAGCGCTTCACCACACATTGGCGGGCACGTCGAGGGTTTCATTCGGCCTCAGGGTTTGAGGGACTCAAGCCCCTAAACCCCAACCCTAAACCCTAAACCCTAAACCCTAAACCCTAAACCCTAAACCCTAAACCCCAAAATGTCTTAGCTTTGTAGGGACTGAGGGGGAAGACAGAGAAGCTCCTGGCTGGCCTCCTTAGTTCCTTTTCCTGCAACCAGATTTCTCTGTTTAGGGTTTAGGGGTTTAGGCTTTAGGGTTTACGGTTAGGGTTTAGGGTTTAGGGTTTAGGGTTTAGGGTTTAGGGTTTAGGGTTTAGGGTTTAGGGTTTAGGGTTTAGGGTTTAGGGTTTAGGTTTTAGGGTTTTAGGGTTTAGGGTTTAGGGTTTAGAGTTTACGGCCCACTCCGTGCTACGCAGCCTTGAATGGCTTGACATGCGAAGGAGCACGGAACACGGCACATGCGGTCCCTGATTCCGAAACCCCGAGCGCGAGCCCAAAATCCCAAACCCTAAAGCCTATAAACCCTAAACCCTAAACCCTAAACCCTAAACCCTAAACCCTAAACCCTAAACCCTAAACCCTAAACCCTAAACCCTAAACCCTAAACCCGAAACTCAACCGATTTCAGGGCGGCAACAGACCCTTGCGATCGGAATTCAATGAGCTTGAAGTTGAAGCAAACTGTCGTGCAATGGGCTTCAACCCTTTGAACCCTTAAAGGCTTACAAACCCTAAGCCCTAGATCCCAAACCCTAAACCCAAAGCCATAAACCCAAGTTGAGGTTTAGGGTTTGGGGTTTTACACTTTACCAAGTCCGAAGTTGTCGCCGGCTTCAAAGCCATGTCCTATGGGCTGCACGGGTCGCAGGGCCCAGGTGAGGGTTTAAGACTTAGGGTTTAGGGTTTAGGGTTTTGGGTTCAGGGTTCAGGGTTTGGGGTTTGGGGTTTCGGGCTTGAGAGTAATCAGTGTGGGATCTAATGGAAGCTCGTTCTACGCAGGGGTGAGAGCAACCCTGTGCCAGACCCTGAACATAGCCTCTGCAAACCCACCCTGACCTGCACAATCCACGCAACTGGCTACGTCCCGCAAATTTGCTGTGGAAGCGAAACCTAACCCCAAAAGCGATGCCGCCAGACATCATGGATGTGATTGCAAAAGCGATACCTCACCACAAGCGACGCCCGTCAATGAAATGTCTCAGTCCTGCCTCTAGGTTTTGCTGCGCCTAAGCCCTGAAGCCCAGACCCTAAACCCCAAACCCCAAACCCTGAACCCTGAACCCTAAACCCTAACCAAACCCTGAAAGGAACATAAGCAAACCCCACAACCATTACACCCATCAAAGCCCACTAAAACCGACTGAAACCCAGAATTCCCCAAGCCCTGTAACAACATAAATGCCCCTCTATCACCCTAAACCCTAACCCTAAACCCTAAACCCTAAACCCTATAAGCCCCTGACTCATCAGACGCCAAGGCTGCGGCTTATCGCCAACGCCACCTACGAACCCACAGGTCCGGACCCTGGACAGCTGCCTTTTTTTTCTTTTTTTCTTTTGGGGGGGGGGGGGGGGGACTGGCGGGTTTAGGGTTTAGGGGTTTAGGGTTTAGGGTGTAGGGGTAGTGGCTGCTCGGGAAGCAGGTGCCCGAAACCCTAAAGCCCGCTTGACACGAGCCTGGGACGGAGGCCCTAAACCCTGAACCCTGAACCCTAAACCCTAAACCCTAAACCCTAAACCCTAAACCCTAAACCCTAAACCCTAAACCCGTAAGCCCGCCTGACATGAGCCGGGGACTGAGGTCGGGACTGGTTTTTCACGGGCGACTACTTCTACCGCAACGGCCGCCGCACGCCAGGCCAGGGGAGCTCTCTTGGACTCCTGGGTCTTGGTTTTGGGGTTTAGGGTTTAGGGTTTAGGGTTTAGGGTTTAGGGTTTAGGGTTTAGGGTTTATGCATGCATCCTTGCGGACAGTTCCGAAGCAACCACTTGGGAACCGACTACGTAACAGAAACGGAATGCCCAAGACCCCAAAACCCTACAACACGACCACCGTTTTAACAACCCTGACAACCCCAAGAAACCTCATAAACCAAACCACTTCAATCACCCTACACGTAAGGACCCCAACAAACCCTAAACCCTAAACCCTAAACCCTAAACCCTAAACCCTAAACCCTAAACCCTAAACAGATCGCCATGATGCAGCTTCCGGATATCACAATCACATGCGCTGCCCCTACAGCATCCTCTCGCACTACATAGTCCCTTCTCTTCGTCCCCTCCTAGAGGGAGGGCTTAGGGTTGGCGAGTTCCTGGTTGTGGAAAGGAAGTTGCATGGCCCCTTACTTCCCTTAAAGGGTTCAGAAGCGTGGGCCCTTGGGTTGTTTGGGGTATATCAGAGGTATATAAGGAGTCCGTGTTTAAGGGCAAATATTAAGCCACCATGTCACTACCCTTTTTTTAAGACGCAGTCTCCTTATGTCTTGCGATGCGCCACTTCCTCGTGCACCCCTAAACCCCCAAAACATCCCTAGGGTTTAGGGTTCAGGGTTCAGGCCTTAGGGTTTAGGGCTTAGGGCTTAGGGCTTAGGGCTTAGGGCTTAGGGCTTAGGGCTGAATATCCCTAAAGAAACCGCCAAAATGGGGATCATCTACCCTGTGCGGTTTAGGGTTAGAGTTTAGGGTTTAGGTTTCTGTTTGGGCATATGAACCATAAGCCCTACTTAGTCCTTGAGGAACCCTGGGGCATTTCCGAAGTGGTTCGAAGCCAAGGTTCAACCCTAAACCCCAGCTCCCTAACCTCTTAACCCTAAACCCTGAATCCAAAACCCCAAACCGCCCTCACACCTCAACCCCAAACCTCAAACCCTAAACCCTAAACCCTAAACCCCAAACCAAAATGGCCTAAACCCTAAACCCTAAAGGCTAAGCATGTTACTCGTACGAACAGAGGCCCACAAGACCGATGGAAGGCTTACACGGACAAGGACAGGGTTTAGGGTTTAGGGTTTAGGGTTTGGGGTTTGGGGTTTGGGGTTTGGGGTTTAGGGTTTAGGGTATAGGGTATAGGGTTTTGGGTTTTGGGTTTTAGATTTAGGGTTTAGGGTTTAGGGGTTAGGGTTTGGTTTGGAGCTTCGGGCTTCGAGTTTAAGGTTTAGGGTTTTGGTAGGTTCATCGAGGTTCAGAAGGTGCTGTCTCCGGAGCACCCCAATCTCCAAAGCCCTCAACCCATCAACCTCGCGGGTTTACCGGAATTTCGTGCTGCAACATTTGGAAATAGGGCTGCCTGCCTACGAAGCCTTCAACTCTGCAAACCTCTGCCGTAGACCTTAAACCCTAAACCCTAAACCCCTAAACCCCTAAACCTCTAAACCCCTAAACCCCTAAACCCTGAAATCTGAAAGAGGCTCTTGTGTCATTCACAGATTTCGGTGTACTGTCTGTAGAGCTAGGTGGCAGGATTGCTCCCTTCCAGGCCCTTGTCCCAACAGATTTCTGGGTTTGTTTAGGGTTTTGGATTCAAGGTTAGTTTCGGGTTTAGGGTTTGGGGCTGAGGGTTTGGAGTTTCGTGAAACTAAGAGAAGCCTAGCTGCAAACTCTATACCTCACTGTAAGGTTTACAGGTTTAGGCAGAGTTTGGGGATTTGCCGGCAGACTCCTGGTTACTTGAGCGGCACCGGGGCCGAACATGAATTTGCGGTTTAGGGCTAGGGCGAATCGAATGTGTTCACCGGTGTTACATCTCCAGGCCTGCGTCAGAGTGCGGGTTGAGGTGTTTTCCTGCAAATGCGGTGGCTGTGAGTCATCTTGCGCCATGGAGCAGCTGTCGGCAATGCATGTGCAGACCTGTCGTCTTCCTGACCTTCGCCGCTCAACCTTTGTCTTGAGCATGCGCTCCCAATTGGCTGCAACACAGCACATTCCAGAGACAGATCGTAAGCGATCTTTCTTGTGGATGCTGCCTTTGGGCTGTGCGGTGCTTGCACTAAGAAGCCACTCGCAGCCTGAGCAAGTCCCTTTTTCCCAGCGAAACCGAATGCTGCGAAGGCCTCGGGCAAATGTTGCGTCTCCCACGGGTCGCACTGGCAAGCGGAAGCGGCCGCACTTTCCGTTGACGCCTTCGAATCCAAACGTGCATGCTACGCCGGGGCGGACGCAGGAAGCGTCAAGTCTGCGGGACAGCATGAAAACATGCAGGCGTCCACACCAGCTTCTTAAATTCTTCGAGGAAATCCGGAATGCCGGCGCGCTTGAAGCCAGCATCTTCGGCTCTGCGATGCTAAGATGCGGACAGGGAAGGTGGTGGGATCAGCTCGTCTACATCTACTCAATGCATAGGGAACTGGGAGTTTCGCTGCGCTGTATTGAGAACAACATCCTGCTGCACGCTCTCGCATCTTGTCTCAAATGTAGGAGAACTTCCGTGGAAGCAATGGAGATCAGGAAGCAGGAGGCTCTGAAGTTGGCTAGGTGTGCATGGGGGTGCCCACCTCCAACAACAGTCGTAGACTTCAACTGTGGCTTGAGCAGTGCCTTGGTAGTTCAGTGGTACCCTTTTCCAAATTGTTGGTTCAAGGTTCCCTTATAAATTAACCAACCAAAAAAAGGTGCCCTTATTATGATATGGTTACTGGGGTACCAAGGTGCATTGCGGCTGTGCGCCCGCATCGGCAGTGATGCTTATGCCTGGGCAGACGAGCTCTGGGAGTGGTCGGAGCAGCAACCCTTGCAGAAGACATACGTGACCTATGCGGCCAGAATGTATCTTTGCGAGCAGCGTGGCCAAGATGCAGCCGTAGCTGATCTACTCACGCAGACCATGCTCCAAAGGCTATCGCCGGATGAGGTGGTCCTTGGCGGCCTGCTTGAAGGAGCGGCAGCTTCCTTCAACTGGAGGCGTGCGGATGAAATCTGGCATCTGCTTGTAGAGAGTCACCAGGTAGAAGCAAACTTCTTGGGGTACACTGCATATGCCAAAGCTCACCTTTTGGCAGGGAGGCCGCAAGTGAGTGTGGAGATTGTTGATAAGATGCTGGCCAGGGACAACTGCAGAATGGACTACAAGCTTGCTGTGGAGTATCTGCAGGCCCTGCTCCTGGTATGCCATTCCTCCCTGGCCGAGGCTGACATTCAAAGGCTTACCGCGTTTCTAGAGCAAGGTGCCACGATCATTGCTCAGGAGTCCGCGCAGTCGGGCAAGGAACAGTGGCAAGCACTAGCTTCCCAAGCCTCAAGGATGATGGCGGACTCGGGTTCTGTGAAATTTCAGGACCTTCTCGTCACGATGAACGCGCGTGAGCTCAGCATCATGAAAGACTGGCAAAGCTGCCGCGCGGGCTCCGGCTACCTCGAAGACGGCATGTCAGAAAATGCCGGTGCGCTTGATCATCACCATCCCACACGAGGCAGGACCTACCTCGTCTCGGTTTCCAATCTTCTATAGCCCCGTTTGGGTTTTTTTATGTATATTGAAAGAAAAGAGCAACACCCAAGGGAACATTTGAAAAAAAATGTTTGTTAAGGTTCTCTGCTCAAGTAGTCATGGGCCCTTCATCGTAGGGACCCTAAACCCGAAACCCTAAACCCGAAACCCTAAAATGCGGCCTACTGTGCTGCGGAGTTCAGCACGACTTGGGATTCTTGAGGGCCTGACCAGCCCTATGCGGGCGGAGGGTTTAGGGCTTAGGGCTTAGGGCTTAGGGTTTAGGGCTTAGGGTTTAGGGCTTAAGGCTTAGGACTTAGGGCTTAGGACTTAGGGCTTAGGGTTTAGGGTTTAGGGTTTGGGGTTTGGGGTTTATGGTTTAGGGTTTAGGGTGGAAAGCAGCAGCAAACAGAGCCGGTGGTACCTGAGACCGTGCCCTCGACCTATGACAGGACATACCGCGTCAGCTGCACCCCGAGCTTCCTCCAGATGTGGCTGAATGCGTTTGTAGGGTTTAGGGTTTAGGGTTTAGGGCTAGGGTTTAGGATTTTAGGATTTTAGGGCTTCAAGCTGGAAAGCCTTAAATTACTTAAAGCTATCGGCCCTAAGCCCTCAACCTGGGCCTCAACCTGATCCTAAACCCCAAAGCGTCGAAGCAATTTCGGGTTGAGGCCATCAGGTTTCGGTTTCCTGCGGCATCCGGGGTTAGGGGAACCCTAAACCCTAAACCCTAAACCCTAAACCCTAAACCCTAAACCCTAAACCCTAAACCCTAAACCCTAAACCCTAAACCCTAAACCCTAAACCCTAAACTGAAGGGGGTGATTCTCCAATGAAATCCGTGTACCGAAGTCCAGATCCCAGGCTTCAGGGGGATATCCCTTGTGTTGCATGCCATAAACCTTCGACCCGGAATCCTAAACCCTCAACCTTGAACCCTAAACCCTAAACCCTAAACCCTAAACCCTAAACCCTAAACCCTAAACCCTAAACCCTAAACCCTAACCCCTAAGCCCTAAGCCCTAAGCCCTAAACCCTAAACCCTAAGCCAGCAAAGTGCGAGTTTAGGCTTCTAGGTTTTGGAGCCTTGAAATGTAAAGTTTAGGGTTGAAGGCTTAGGGTACTACACCATTGCTGCAAACAGTACGCAAAAATGTCCTGCAGCCTGTGAACCCCTACATCCTAAGCCCTTTCCCCAGACTCAACAGCCATGTCTTCCAGTCATCCGAGTCCACCCGTGGGCATTGTATCTTGAAAGCATGAGGGGATTTAGGGAGTCCGCAAACCTCGATCTCTTTAGGGTTAACCCCCGAAAGCCCAAACCCCCAAACTTTAGCCCTAAACCCTAAACCCTAAACCCTAACACCTAAACCCTAAACCCTAAACCTGAAACCCGAAACCCTAAGCCCTAACCCTAAACCCTAAACCTAAACCCTAAACCCTAAACCCTAAACCCTAAACCCTAAACCCTAAACCCTAAGCCCTAAACCCTAAACCCTAAACCCTAAACCCTAAACAAGTGCTGAAGGCCCTTGGGCCGACCCAAAGAGATGCGAAGGACGTCTTCTTTTGCCACGATAGGGTTTAGGGTTTAGGGTTTAGGGTTTAGGGTTTAGGGTTTAGGGTTTAGGGTTTAGGGTTTAGGGTTTAGGGTTTAGGGTTTAGGGTTTAGGGTTTGGGTTCCAGGGTTTCGGGTTTTGGGGCTTGGGGTTTAGGGGGAAAGGTCTCTTGTACACATACTCTTACTTGATGCCCGCTCCAGGCGGTTCCATTTTGGGGTCGATGGTCACCTCTGTAGAGGCTTCTGGGGTTTAGAGTGTGAGCTCCCAAAGTGTCACAATGTGTGGCTTTATCACCCTCAAACCCATCCCACCCTCAGGCCTACACTCTACGCCCTTGGGCCTAAGGCCCAATAGTTCCAAAAGGACCTACTTGAGCAATTTGGTTGAGAGATGCTTCCCAACCTCAAGCCCTAAACCACTCATGCGATGTAAAGTTGGGCTCGGAAGCTCTGCATGCGCAGGGCCTGAAAACCGTTAAAGCCCCAAGGTTTAGGGTTTAGGGCTCCCAAGCCCCAAGCCCAACCTCCAAACCCTGAAGGCCCGTAACAATCCGAAAGAACCCTCAATTCTTGCACGCATAGCAGAGCCCCATATATCTAGCATACCCCACACAAGGGACCATGTTTTCAAAGAACTGTAGGCACCTTTCGGCTCGAGGCAGTGAATACCATCTTCCCTGCAGATGTAAGACTCCGAACGTACCTAGCCTAGAGGAGCTTAGTTGTTCTCTCATTGTTGAGTTTGGGGTGTATAAGCCCTAAACCCAAACCCTAAACCCCGAACCCTAAACCCTACCCCTATAGGGGTGTAGGAACTTACAGGGTCCAAGCCGCCCCAGACCGCAGACCTAGATTCTCAACCTCAAGAGGGTTGGGGGTTTTAGAGTTTAGGGCTTAGCCCCTAGTTTACCCCCCAGGTCCTTTATACGGGTCCCAGCTTTAGTCCCTGGATTGTTTGTCGCCATGACGTGGAGTACCACTTGCAGGCACACGGGCTGTTGTGGGTTTGGGCCCTGCGCGAGTCTAGTTGGCGTAAGGCGTATGGTTCAGGACTTCACATTGTTTGGCGCATTTGCAGCCCCACTTATGACCAACTACCCCTCTGAACCTTTGAGGTCTCATCTGGGTTTAGATCACATTTGAGGAGGCTTCTGGGCCAAAGCTTCACGCCTAAACCCTAAACCCTAAACCCTAAACCCTCAACCCTCAACCCTCAACCCTCAACCCTAAACCCTAAACCCTAAACCCTAAACCCTAAACCCTAAACCCTAAACCTTGGACTTCACCACACTTAGGCTCCTCTTCCGCTGTGTGCCGGTGGCCCTCCTTTTCTTCACCTTTGCCTCTCGCCGAGAAGCTGTGCGAGGGCGGAGCCTGTCGAGGCAGTTTGGGATGTCATGCTAGGCTGCTAGGGTTTAGGGTTTAGGGTTTAGGGCTTTAGGGCTTTAGGGCTGTAGGGCTTTAGGGCTTTAGGGCTTTAGGGGTGTAGGGGTGTAGGGGTTTAGGGGTTTAGGGGTTTAGGAGTTTAGGGGTTTGGGGGTTTAGGGGTTTAGGGGTTTAGGGGTTTAGGGGTGTAGGGGTTTAGGGGTTTAGGGGTTTAGGGTTTGGGGCTTGCATACTTGCAGTCCTACCCATCGTACTTATAACTCTTGTCATCACAGGGTTTGTGGATTTTGAGATTTAGGGCTTGGGGTTTGGGGAGTCAGGGTTGAGGGCATCTGCGTGGTTCTGCAACTTCACTTCGGCTGGGGCTCACAGGGAAGGCGCTCAGCCATGCTTATCGCACCCCGCAAGCCCAGAAGCCTTTGCCACAAACCAGGGCCTTAGGCTCCAGGTAAGAGACGAGGACCCAGAGTGAGAAGGCCCTTATTCAACTTCCTTATTTAGGCTTCAGGTTCTTTTGCACTTACTCCTGGGTCTAAGAGATTTTGGGCCCTATAAAAATTCCTTGAGGGGCATAATATAGGGCCCTATAATCATCCCTTCAAGGGTACAATATAGGGCCCTATATACTTTTGTTAAAGGGTGTACTATAGGGCCCTCTAATAATCCCTTAAAGGGTATAAGAGATCGCCCCCCGTAGAAAGCGTAGAAGCCTTTGCAAAAAGACCTGGCAGGGCGCGTCCACAGCCTGGACGACAGCAGCCGACCTCCCAGTGCAGAGAGATCTCGGAGGACACCACCCTGAACCCTAAACCCTAAACCCTAAACCCTAAACCCTAAACCCTAAACCCTAAACCCTAAACCCTAAACCCTAAACCCTAAACCCTAAACCCTAAACCCTAAGCCCTAAACCCTAAACCCTACACCCTAAACCCTAAACCCTAAACCCTAAACCCTAGGCTCCCGAGGTTCCCTACACCCCCTAAACTCCTAGGCTCCCTAGGCCTTAGCCTTTTCTAGACGCCATAGGCTCCCTAGATTCCCTAAACCAAGCCCCCCGACATTCCTAGCACTTCGGGTCTTAGGGCAGGATTGACCAGGTGGTGGTTCATGATCTGCATGAGGGTTGAAGCTTGAGTATGTTTTTGTTTTCTTTTCTTTTTGTTTTGTTCCCCAACAGCGAAGCGATGGGGTCTCCAGCCCTTGGGTACTGGAGCGGGTTTCGGAGCAGGTTCCGGAGCGGGTTCCGGAGCAGGTTCCACGGGCCAAGAACATCTGAAAAGCGCGCTGGCTTGAAACCCCCTTTCCTCCCATACAATGGCTTGGCTCGGCGGTATACAAGTCTATCAGCGATGCGTGCTAGGTCTTGCTTGCAAGCAGTCTGCTAAGCTACGCAAGGTCTCTGTTCCATTGTCCGCGGTATGTGTTTCTTTGTTTACCTTATTAATTCCCAGAAACCCGGTCCGCGGGGGATTTGTGGTGTTTTCCCAGCAGCGGAGCGATGGGGCTCCAGCCCTTGGGTACTGGAGCGGGTTTCGGAGCGGGTTCTGGGATCAGGTTCTGGGATCAGGTTCTGGGATCAGGTTCCACGGACCAAGAACATCCACCCATACAATTAGCCTGGTGTTACAATTGTAATAGCGATGCGTGCCAAGTCTTCCTTGCAAGCAATCGGCTAAGCTATGCAAGGTCTCTGTTCCATTGTCCGCGGTATGTGTTTCTTTGTTAGTCTTTGTAATTCCCAAAAGCCCGGACGCACAGCGCACAACCATATATTGGGTGTCCTTTTGGGGATAGTCGTAATATTAACCCTACTTTGACATCCCTGATCTATGAGGCTGGTTGCAGTTCATGGGTTTCCCGAAGGCCTAGGGTTTAGGGCTTAGGGCTTAGGGCTGAGGGCTTAGGGCTACGGGCTTAGGGCTTAGGCTTAGGGACAAGCAAGAGCCGTCACAGGCGATCCCCAACGGCTTCGAATGGCACGCCTCGCGCCAAACAGACGAGTTCTTCCGATGCCTGCAGCTGGATCAGCAGATGAGTTTTCGTATCCTGAGCCCTATAGCCTCACAAAACGCAGTTTAGGGTTTAGGATTTAGGGTTAGGGTTTAGGTTTTCGTTTAGGGTTTAGGGTTTAGGAGTTTAGGGTTTAGGGTTTAGGGTTTAGGGTTTAGGGTTTAGGGTTTAGGGTTTAGGGTTTAGGGTTTAGGGCCACAAAGCGTGCCGTATAGCCAACCTCAACTTACTAAGCAATCAAGACCATTGCGGCGTCCCGGAGTCCCCCAACATCCCCTAGAATCCAGAATCCCAAAACTACAAAAACCCCTAAACCCGATTGGGAACCCTACATTCGAAAACCCTAAACCACAAACCCTAACAATAATCAACCCTAAACCCTAATCAACCTGAATCAATCCTACACCCTAGTCAACCCTAAACCCTGATGGTTTCAGAACCGAGCAGCTACCCCAGGCATGACGTCACGGCACTGGACGTCTTCCTCAGTGCCCTGTACTTCAAGGACACCGCACATAAGCCTTGCATAGCCTTGCCACCCAAACCAAGTAGTTAGCCTAAACCCTAAACAATAAACCCTAAACCCTACACCCTACACCCTACACCCTAAACCCTAAACCCTAAACCCTAAACCCTAAACCCTAAACCCTAAACCCTAAACCCTTGCTGTCTGTCAAGGACGGGGTTGTCCCGCAAGACTTTGCGGTGGAGGGCAATCCTGGCCCTGGTCTGCGGAGAGTATGGCTCAACCCGGAATCTGGGTTTAGGGTTTAGGGTTTAGGGTTTAGGGTTTAGGGTTTAGGGTTTAGGGTTTAGGGTTTAGGGTTTAGGGGTTAAAGCTCTTACAAGGCACCTTAGCCCCACACCCATGAACCTGAAAGTAGGGGCGGTTCATCCCGAATCTCCAGACGAAGCCTCAGCCCGATCCTTTTGCGTCCTAGAGCCTTGGATTTTTGTCTCGGGTGTCTGCACGTCCATTGAGAAGGAGCCCCGAAGACTGAGCACGCAAGCAAAGATTGAAATGGAACCCTAAAGCCTACACCCTATGCCCGAAAAGCCCACCAAAACCATGTGGGGGTTGCCGAAATTTTGGGTGGTCCTCATGATAAGGAAATCCTAGTATTTGGAATCTCCCCCCTCCAAAACGCCGTACCTGCAAAAACTGCGGTGCCCTTTCAGAGTCGTTTGGGGGGGGGGGAGGGAGCCTGGTGTGTAGAGGCGTCACTATTCAGGTTTCTAGGGGCTTTAGGGTGCTATGCTTCTGTGATTTTCTGCACAGGATTAGGGTTTAGGGTTTAGGGTTTAGGGCTTAGGGCTTAGGGCTTCGGGTTTCGGGTTTGGGGTTTAGTTGTGTGTGAGTATGCCGAGGACACCCCGGCCCATCACCTCCTCTACAAACGCGCCGGTCGGCTCCAGTACCTGGCTCCTGGGCCCCGACTTGGAGGTTCATGGCACTTATTCAACAATTTGGTACTGAAAACCATAATTCGGGCACTTAAGAAAAGGGTTCTAATTCTAACAGCTATAATCGGTTTATAAGAAACCAGAATTCGGGCACTTAAGGGGATTCCAAGTGGGCTACAAGTGCAGCTATAATTGGTTTATAAGAAACCAGAATTTGGGCACTTAAGGGGATTCCAAGTGGGCTACAAGTACAGCTATAGTTGGTTAGTAAGTCCCGTGAACCTCCCAGTAAGTCAGCCAGGAGCTGCCAGGGCCCCCAGGCATGTAGGGTTTAGGGGTTTAGGGTTTAGGTTTTAAAATTAGGGTTGTAGGGTTGTAGGGGTTTAGGGTTTAGGGTTAGGGTTTAGGGTTTAGGGTTTAGGGTTTAGGGGTTTAGGGGTTTAGGGTTTAGGGTATCGGGTTTCGGGATGTGGGGGTATCGGGTATCGGGATGTGGGGTTTCGGGTTGCTACAGCTCAATCCCCACCCTTGAGGTCCAAGCCGAAGGCCTGAATAATCTTAAGGGCCCTGAACCCCCTCAGCAAACCCCAAAACCCTTAAACCCTTAAACCCTTAAACCCTTAAACCCTTAAACCCTTAAACCCTTAAACCCTTAAACCCTTAAACCCTTAAACCCTTAAACCCTTAAACCCTTAAACCCTTAAACCCTTAAACCCTTAAACCCTTAAACCCTTAAACCCTTAAACCCTTAAACCCTTAAACCCTTAAACCCTTAAACCCTTAAACCCTTAAACCCTTAAACCCTTAAACCGAATCTTGAAACCCTTAAGCCCTAAAACCCTTGGTAGCCCAGTGGTACCCTTGTTCCCACTTCTGGGTTCAAGGTCCCCTTGTAAAGTAACCAACCCCCCCCCCAAAAAAGGGTACCCTTATGAAAATATTGCTCTTGGGCTACCAAGACCCCAAACCCTAAACCCTGAACTCCCTAAACCCTAAACCCTAAATTCCCTAAATTCCCTAAACCCTAAACTCCCTAAACCCTAAACTCCCTAAACCCTGAACCCTAAACCTCGGTAGACACCGAGACCAAGGTGGTTGAAGGGAACAGCCTCTCGGCAGAGCATTTCCCAGACTCCGGCGACTGTGGCACTTCCTTGGCGCGCCGCTGCACTGTTCGCGAGGCCGGAAGGGGGGGGGGGGGGGGTGGGCTGACAGGCGGTATAGGGTTGATGAGTTTATGGGCTGTGTAGGGTTTCTGGGGTTTATAGGGTATATGACGTTTATCGGGTTTACAAGGTTTGTAGGGCTTCTATATACGGTTTTGGGTTAGTTTGACAGCTTACTTTATGCCCCTGCAGCCAGAAAGACACCGGGCGCCGAACATCCTACACTGGTCCTACACAAATGGGAGGTTTCGGAACTTCCCTAAACCCTAAACCCTAAACCCTAAACCCTAAACCCTAAACCCTAAACCCTAAACCCTAAACCCTAAACCCTAAAACCCTGTTCGACTGGGATTCTAGCCTTTTCGGGGCAGGTTCGGGGGACCCCTATTGCGGAACATGCCCACTCTCAACCCTAAGTCCTAAACCCTAAACCCTAAACCCTAAACCCTAAACCCTAAACCCTAAACCCTAAACCCTAAACCCTAAACCCTAAACCCTAAACCCTAAACCCTAAACCCTAAACCCTAAACCCTAAACCCTAAACCCTAAACCCTATCAAAAAACCGGCATCGCTGAACCAAGGTAAGCGAGCAGCTCGTGCGCCTTGGGCTTTTCCTCCAAAGACGCCTTAATTCCTAGTATCCTCCAATTACGCCTTTTTTAATTCCTAGTAGATGGAGACTTCCGAAACTGTGGGCACCCTTTTTTGGGGATCCCGTCAAAGAGGATTCGATTCTAAGTTAAGTCTGGGGGTATTCAGCGGTGTAGCCGTAATTTGAGAAGTGCCCATATGAGAACTTTCTGTTGGATGGGATACCCTAAACCCCAAACCCCAAACCCCAAACCCTAAACCCGAAACCCTCTGTTGTTTCGGCGTGTGTTTTTGAGCTGTCGTTGGCTTGATCTGAGGCCAGCCTCTTACAGCCCATGGCTAGCAACCGACTCTATACAAACCAGGAACTCTAAGCCCTAAGCCCAAAACCCTAAACCCTACACCCGAAAAAAGCAGTCCTAGGTGCGCACTGGCCGGGCGAGTGGAGATACCCAAGCTACCAGGCGACCGGGAGGGTGGGGGGGGGGGTTTGAGGGTTTAGGGTTTAGGGTATCAGGGTTTTTTTTTAGGGTTCTGAAGACCCTAAACCCAAACGGTACGTTCGAGGCTTCGGGACTTTCCGAGCTTGGGCTTTCCGGGCTTCGGGTGGCCCCGGAAACTGCTTGCGTACTTGCAGGTTCATGGTACTTACGAGCCAATTGTAGCAGCCGAAACCTCTACTTGGTACTTAAAGGGGTTTAGGGTTTAGGGTTTAGGGTTTAGGGTTTAGGGTTTAGGGTTTAGGGTTTAGGGTTTAGGGTTTAGGGTTTAGGGTTTAGGGTTTAGGGTTTAGGGTTTAGGGTTTAGGGGTACTGATTACCGCTTGTATGCCTCTTAAGTGCCCCAATATGGTTATACAAGTACAGCTAGAAGTACAGGTACACTTGGTTCACAAGTACCATGAACCTCCAAGTAGAGGCTTCCCCAAATTTTTAGAGGGAGAGACCAAGCTCTGAAGCCTCATTCTTTGAGCCCGAAGCTTTGTTTTGTCTGGGGGGAGGGGGGAAGATGTGGAGAAACCCTAAACCCTAAACCCTAAACCCTCAACCCTCAACCCTCAACCCTAAACCCTAAACCCTAAACCCTAAACCCTAAACCCTAAACCCTAAACCCCCCCCTCAACCCTCAACCCTAAACCCTAAGCCCTATAAACCTAAACCCTGAACCCGAGGCCCTAAACCCGCGAAAATAGCCCAAAGACAATCCACAGGTTACTTGGGAGGCGCGGCTCTCGGGAGGGTTAGGGTTCAAGGTTTTAAGGGTTTAAGGATTTTAGGGTTTAGGGTTTAGGGTTTTGGGTTAGTTGAGTCTTTGAGGGGTTTGGGTGTTTGGGGCCTTCGCTGCGCGAGGTGTTTGCCAAGCAAACGTGAGCTCCACTCTGTTGACGATGAGGGTAGAGCAGCTGGATGTCGATGAGGACCCGCCCGTTCTTCACTACTCTTTCCCTAAACACGGTAAACCCTAAACCCTGTAAAACCCTATAAACCCCAAACCCTTGAAACCCTAAACCCTTTTTAAACCCTAAACCCTGTAAGCCCTGCAAACCCTAAACCCCCCTCTTAAAGGAGGTGCGGGAAGGCAAGGTGGAGCCTGCTTTCTGCAACATGGCCAGACTGGTGCCCCAGCTGAGAGAGCAGGGCGCTGAGTGGCTGGCTGGCTATCCCGATGCTTGTCCGAAAAAAGGGGTTTAGGCTTGACAGGGTTTAGGGTTTAGGGTTTAGGGTTTAGGGCTTGGGGTTTGGGGTTTAGGGCTTAGGGTTTAGGGTTTAGGGTTGGGGGGAGTACTGTAGTTGGTTTAGTCTTGAAGTCTTGAATAAGGGTTGTGTGCTATCAAGTTGCTGGGCATCAAAGGCGCCGGAGAAGATGGCGGCGTGCGTGGCCTTGGGCCGAGTGAAGCAGATGCCAGAGGACTCCGACTTCGTGACTGGCGCGCCTCTGCCTCAAGCAACTCGAGCAAGGTGCGGCAGGGAACGAGACACGCCGCCGCACTGTGCTCGAGTTGCTTGAGGCAGAGGCGCGCCAGTCGCGAGGTCGGAGTCCTCACACGGCCCAAGTCCACGCACGCCGCCCGCTTCTCCGACGTCTTCGCTTCTTTAGGGTTTAGGGTTTACGGTTTAGGGTTTAGGGTTTAAGGGTTTAGGGTTTAGGGTGTAAGGGTTTAGGGATTCTACCACTCCAAGGGTGGCATCCGTGACAAGTCTGTGCACCCCACCGGTACGTTGAGGCTTTCTTGTCTTCTCTGACTGCGTTGCAGCTGAGCCAGGGCGATCAATCCCTAAACCCTAAACCCTAAACCCTAAACCCTAAACCCTAAACCCTAAACCCTAAACCCTAAACCCTAAACCCTAAACCCTAAACCCTAAATCCAAGAGCAAGGATGCCCAGTGTGCTCTCGCAAGCTGCGGGGATCCGCCGGACAGCAAGATTGACTACGACGTCCTGCACAGCTGCTGGCTACGGGGTAGCGTGAATAGCACCATCATGCTGCTCATCGTGCTCCTGCTGTATTTGTTCACGTTGGTGGGCGTTGTGGCGGACAGCTACTTGGTGCCAGCACTGGTGCAGATCGGCCGTGATCTTGAGATGTCTGATGCGTTGTTGGGTGCCACTCTGCTGGCCTTGGGGGGGTCCATCACCGACTTCATGGCCGGGCTGGTATCAGCCTTAGCCGGACAACACTCTGCGGATGACACGAGCCTGTGGCTGGGTGGTATAGTCGGCGCTGGACTCTTCGCCTGCACAGGCGTCATGTCCATCATCATGGTGGTTGCCGGGCGCGGGGTCTCTGTCGAGCCACATGTCTTCACTCGAGATGTGGCTTTCAGGAGCCTTGCGAACGCCATGCTGCTGATTGCGGCCTATCTTCAGGAGGTGTCGACCACGTTTGCTGCCATCATGATTGCTTGCTATGCCTGGTGCTTGGGAAGCTTGTTGGTAGCGGCGTGTTGGCTTCGTTTCGAACCCCTGATGCCCTAAACCTTACCCTAAACCCCATATAGGCCCCAAGCAGCCCTTTCCATCAACGTGGTTTCCCGAGGTATGTCATTCTGACTGTGGGTGGAGGGCCCGCGACCCCCGAGTCCCAAAATAGCGAGCTGCCTACCGTCTGCGAAGGCGACATACTTTTTTTCCGAGAGCTTTTTCTTTGTGTGTGTGTGTTTTTTTAGCGGGGCGTGGGGAGTGGTGGGTGGTGGTTTGGTCCAGGGAAGGGTTTAGGGTGTTTGGCATCAAGGTTTCCTGAACACTCCTCCAGCTTTCATCCAAACTCAGCATGCGCTCAGCTCTAACCCCCAACCTTAAAATCACCATTCGGCGCAGCCATCTAGTAGTAGCCAGGCTTCCTAGCGACCTTTAAACCCCAAACCATACACACAGACGCACGCACGCACCCCCCTTCCCCCCCCCCCCCAAACGCTTAACCGCTTCAAGTACTAGTTACATCCCAAACCCTAGAAGCCCCTAGTGCTTGACCCTTCAATGCCTTATGTCCACCCCCCAGCCCAAACCTCAACCCTAAACCGTAAACCCTAAACCTCAAACCCTAAACTCTAAACCCTAAACCTAGAAACCCTAACCTATAAATACCCTAAACCCTAAACCCTAAACCCTAGACCCTAAACCCTAAACCCTAAACCCTAAACCCTAAACCCTAAACCCTAAACCCTAAACCCTAAACCCTAAACCCTAAACCCTAAACCCTAAACCCTAAACCCTAAACCCTAAAGCACAGGCACCGAGCCCCGCGCCTCCACATCTTCAGAGCTGTCCCAGGGCCGCGGGAGTCGTCTGTCTCTCTCCTTCCAGGCTAAGGGCTTGAGACCTTCACCTTTTAGGGTTTAGGGTTTAGGGTTTAGGGTTTAGGGTTTAGGGTTTAGGGTTTAGGGTTAAGGGTTTAGGGTTTAGGGTTTAGGGATGTTCCCCTAGCACTAACAGTCCTGAATAGGGATTATAATGGGGGGGGGTACTTTAATCCCGACAAAGGACTGTTAGTCTAAGGGGGAACATCCCAACCTGAACCCTAAACCCTAAACAGCCCAAAACCCTCAACTTCCAGACTAGGTAACCCTGAACCCTAAACCCGAATCCCTAAACCCAAAACCCTAAACCCTAAACCCTACACCCTAAACCCTGAACACTACCTGAGCCCTAAGCCCCAAGCCCCAAGTCCTAAGCCAGGCATTGGCAGGTGCCGGTGTCCCGGCTCTTGTGGCTGCCGAGACCTCCGCGGACGGCGAGATGTGCTCTCAACGTTTCTTAGACGTTGAGGAGGTTTAGGGTTTAGGGTTTAGGGTTTAGGGTTTAGGGTTCGGGGTTTAGGGTTTAGGGTTAGGGTTTAGGGTTTAGGGTTTAGGTTTAGGGTTTAGGTTTAGGGTTTTTAGGGTTTAGGGTTTAGGGTTTAGGGTTTAGGGTTAGGGTTTAGGGTTTAGGGTTTAGGGTTTAGGGTTTAGGGTTTAGGGTTTAGGGTTTAGGGTTTAGGGTTTAGGGTTTAGGGTTTAGGGTTTGGGGTTTGGGGTTTAGGGTTTAGGGTTTAGGGTTTAGGGTTTAGGATGATCCCTCTCTAGAACCGGAAGCTGGGACAAGTGAGGACTGAAACGACATCTCGGCTGGCCGAGTCCGGGGGCGGGTGCCACTGGGAAGCCATTTCGGGGGTTTCCGGCCCTCTCTGGGTATCCCATAAGAAAGACGGAGCCTTGTTTATTATGTAAGGTACCCCGCAAATGGCAAAGGGCCCAGCGGTAGTCGCTATTTAGAGGCTTTTTGAGTGCTCATGATACGTTGAAGGTTCTGGCTTTCATGCGTCATGCCAAGATCGGTCGATGCTTTTTTGGCGCCGGTGCTTTAGGTTTCGAGTTTAGAGCATCAGGGTTTTGGGGTTCAGCCTCTTAGGGGCTAGCACCCCAAGCCCTAAGCCCCACAACCTCGAAACCCCTTAAAACCCTGTGAATCCTCAAAAATCCTCGAAGCCCTCAAGCCTAAAGCCACCTCCCAAGGTCATGGAGATGCCCCCAAAATCCTACACTCATGAAAGCCTTGAGTCCTAAACCCTAAACCCTAAACCCTAAACCCTAAACCCTAAACCCTAAACCCTAAACCCTAAACCCTAAACCCTAAACCCTAAACCCTAAACCCTAAACCCTAAACCCTAAACCCTAAACCCTAAACCCTAAACCCTAAACCCTAACCTAAACCCTAAACCCTAAACCCTAAACCCTAAACCCTAAACCCTAAACCCTAAACCCTAAACCCTAAACCCTAAACCCTAAACCCTAAGC